CGTCCAAAAAGCCGAGAAAATGGAGGGATCGAAACACTAGGAATCTGCGGAAGCTATTCCAGCAGGTACGCGCAACAGACTAGGGATTCTCATGTTTGAAGCATCCAACGACAAAATGGCACACTCGTTTCAAACGAAGAAAGATGCCCGGGACGCCGTGCTCGACATTGTGAACAATTCAGATGGCCATCCACAGTTGCTCATTCGGAATTCCGACTAGTAATGGAACTCTGGGCGATAAACTCGGACCCTTCGACAGCTTCTTAAATATGCGAATGGTCTTTCTCCCTCAAGCGCCACCGATCAGCTCGTTCCAACGAACTCCCACCCGCGCTGTTTAAGGATGGAGACGAAAACATCAGTTGGTGTTAGTCTAAATTTTTTACCCCCGTCTGGGCAAAAGAGACTGTCCCAACCAACCAGGGTGAGTTGATATTAAGAAAGGGACGATCACAGATGAACTAGCTTGACCCTCGTTATAACCAGACTGCTTCCTTAATTTTACGTAGTTTATAAAAGCACATGAAGACCTGACCCGAGAACAACGAGGATTCCGGTAAGGGATGCTGAGGATGAGTTCGAACCACGGACCTTCAGGTCAGTACGTTCACATCGTAACCACTAAGGCATCTGAAGCTCAGTGAGAATGCCCAAAGCTTATTTCAGATGATCCGTGCAACCCGTCCTCGGAGAACACCTGTAAGCGAAGCGACGAAGGATCAGAGGAGGCACGAAGAAGAACGCCTCGATCGTTAGGCCGTATGCGTCGGAAAACAGTTCTGGTGCCGACCCTCTGCCAATTGTTTGGAGAATACAGCTGAAATGGAACCCTGGATGGTTAACCTAGAACCCCATACTGACTAGGAGGTTTATGATCGCATATGTTCTCAAGCAACGCCGAACTCCTGATCCGGATTACTACCCACTCGCATTTTAAAGTTCTCAGTTAGTGTTTGTCTGACCTATTTGCCTACATGAGAAAAGGAGACTGTCCTAAACAACGGAGGAGAATCAGTGATGGTATTCATTTTGGAGAAGGAGTGAATACTTTGACCTTGGTCTTAGCTCTTAGCGTTAGTTCTCTTCTCTCGCCTCATGTTGGCTCGCGAAACTAACTCAAGAGCGGTAAATGGTGTTCCGACCTTGTAAGGGATGCGTCGGCACTCCGTCACGTGCCAGAACAACGCCTCATTTGTCCAAGTGACCCGTATTCCCGGGTTTCCAAGATGATTGACCGGTCTGATCTCCTTAACACGCTTGTCCAGCGAGGAATGCCCAGGTGGTATGTAAGCACAGTAAATTCTTTGTGTTCTAAGACTTGCGAGCGCTCGAAAGCATAGAGATAGCTCTCCAAAAACATTTGTATACAAAGTGGTGTCCGTCAGCGGTGCACACTGTCTCCATCCTCATTTTATTTCGTCATGGACGGGATAGTGACGGAATGCTATAAGGACATAAAGGCCCTGATGTTCAAATAACCGCTAACGAGAGCCTTGTCGACCGGGAATATGCAGATGACGTCGTTCTCGTCTTCGAAGAGGAGGTGACGACTCAGATGTTTTCGCATGCACTTTGCACCCACAAAGTGTAAGGTCATGCTTCATGACAATATGCGATTGACAATCCAAGGAGGAGAATTTGAATTTACGAGCGTTTGACGCATCTTGAAAGCTAACATTAGTTCCGATTGTAGTTTGACAGACGATGTCAATGAAGGGTCTGCGAGAATTGGGTCGCGTTATTTGATTCGAGACAACCACGGCGGCAAAGCAACATGCCCCTAAACCTCAAGCAACATGTGTATCAGATAACACTCAGAGTTACTTTGTGACGTGGCCTCTTCGGACAGCGGAACTGAGCCATCTCCAGGTCTTCCAAAACGGGTTGTCTCAAAAGGATAACTGGTGTCCGCTAATGCGCGATGAGGCAACTAGAAAGCGAGTATTCCGGTGCGCAACGGAAACTTCTATCGAAGAATTGGTCTAGCACCGAAGTCCGGATTGTTTCAGGTCTGCGTTGTGCATGCTGGGCAAAGAGCTGCTTACCATACGCAACTAGAGTGGTCTAATTTTGACCCGGCAGTGGCATTCGAAAACGACTGGGAGTATTATGGGTAATGTCGGTGCGGCCCATCGTTTAGGATGAGATTAACTTGATTCCCGACGTCCACGGTTGGTGAAACTGCAAGATATGGCTGCCAATCGATGTCAATGATCTTGTCATTTCCTATCCACTACCTGAATGAGTGTCTGGAGGTGTACGCATTTCGGAATGGTTCTGATTTGCTAGTACTAAGTCCCTTCTCCGTCCACTTATTTTCCACAGTAAAACGTCCGAACAAACTATGGTTGTGCGGCGGCTAAGTATGATGTTCGAAAACTTGTTTTGTCAGTGATGAAATGTAGTAGCCTACTGTGCGAGCTATGTTGTACTTCTGTAAGTCTTCTTCGGTCTATGCCGAATTCATGACATAATTCGTTTGACAACAGATCTCTCTTTTCCGATGTCTCTGGTTGTTCGAGAGGTTTATCGTCACTAGCTGGAAGAACGGCGTACCTGCCGTACAGTGGTTATGGCTGCCGCGGTTTCGTTCACCGATGATTTGGGGAGATGTGTTAGGTAGCTACGGATTACGGGCGGTAGCTGATATAATTGCTGCTTAAATACATGGGTATCAGCGGGTCTTCATCCAGGAAGACGGCAGTGTTCACCGCAACTTAGATTCCTGGTACTGGCTTTCATACTTCGCTGCAAAATCATTATTTGACCTCCCCTCCTCTACCCTTCGCGTAGTTGTGCGAAAAGTGCCTTCGAGGAAATCGGTCGACCGGCATACGGAGCAAGTGCAACTTATGGAGTGTGATCAGTTCACCTGTCGTGAGCGAGTTATTTATTCCGATAACAGTCTTTATGTTTGGCCCCTCAGGTGTGAGGGGCCGTTCTCGACTACCTAGATCGAAATCACTGAAACGGGAAATAAGGCTTGTCAGGTTGGCGTGGTTAAGACTACTAATGTCCGACCACCCTCTCAAGGAAGGCATTGTTCTGCTCCAAAATCGTGTTAATGAAATGTCCGTAGGTGACAGACTATGATTTGGCAGCGGTGAATGAGGGTAGCCACTTTACGGTTGAGGACTGTGGGATGGTAGTGGTTGGAGCCCACGTGATTCTCTATGCACATTTGACTAGAAATCCTACAGGACACATGACCACTCGTATCGAATGATATCCCGTCACTTTCTAGCCGAACCACCTAGCTTGAGTTTCTCCGTCATACACTGAACTCGTGCTGGGGTTCTCAAATGACAGACCACAGGAGATGCCGTATGGTTAGTGGAAATGTTCCACTCTAGAATGCCTGAAACGAAGCCAGGATACTGTTTGACGCGACTGCAACCTGGTGTTCAACGGCTTCTGATATCAAGGGGGTTAGGGGTAGCCCAGCAAACCATATGCTGTTTCTGATTGTAGAAGGGGATCGGAGTCCAGAATACTGAAAGAGCCGTGCTATGATTGGGTTTTTCACAGCAGTACACAGGAACGTTTCTGTCCGAATGGAACGACCATCTCTAATAAGGAGGAACGCCTTGACCGGTGGGCTGAATACTTTGAGCAACAAATGTCTTGGCCACCAGCCAGCACTCATCTGCAGCCCACAGGTGAATTAGAACCCTGGACGGTGAACGTGGAACCACCTACGGCCTCGGAGGTTTACGACTGCATATGTTCTCTCAAGCGCCACCGAGCTCCCGGTCCGGATGACCTTCCACCCGCACTGTTCA